GTTTCAGAATCTAACCTGAAATGAATTCGGGCTGTCCATACACAGGACTTTACCTATTTACATTTGATTCACATATAAGGTTATTTTTGCAACCATAAAGGCTATTTTTTTTTCTTAAAAATGAAAGTTTGTTATTGGATTTAACTGGGATTCTGCACAGGTGCAGAAGCCCATGCAATCAGATTTCATTGGTGGATTGGGGATTATAAATATTTATACGCTCTAATCCTCCAGTGGATCTCACCCAGACCTACAGCTAGGATTGTGAGTATGTTAACAGTTATGGGATTGATCACCTTAACCAGTTGTGTTGTAAGTTACACAGTTGGTCTGTGAAAATAGAATGTTTTCTTCTATCACAACTGTATTTTTATGTCCACACCCGCCTCTTTTTAGCAGTTCATGCTAGGACTTTCTGGGCATCTCTCTCATAATGCCCTATCAGCTGCTGTCAGTACCATGGCCTATGTGTAATTCAGCAACACTCCTTCTTTCTACCTAGGATTATACAGTTTCTTACATAAAGCCCATAATCTTCTTCCAAGGGACTCACAGTGGCCACTTGGAATCAGAGACCTTTTTGTCACTGCTGACAGTTGCATCCTCCAACTTCTGAATTTTGATGCATGACATACTGGAGGAAGAGCAGTGCAGCAATAGTAACAATATCCAGAGCATTCTGAGGTGGTACCTGAAAAGAAGACAAGTGGATATGTATAGATTTGGGTTCATCTACATCAGGGGTAGGCAACCTATGGCACATGTGCCGAAGGCGGCACGCGAGCTGATTTTCAATGGCACTCACACTGCTCAGGTCCTGGGCACCAGTCCGGGGGACTCTGCATTTTAATTTAATTTTAAATGAAGCTTCTAAAACATTTTAAAAACCTTATTTACTTTACATACAACAATAGTTAGTTATACATTATAGACTTAGAGAAAGAGACCGTCTAAAAACGTTAAAACGTATTACTGGCACACAAAACCTTAAATTAAAGTGAATAAATGAAGACTTGGCACACCACTTCTGAAAGGTTGCCGACTCCTGATCTACATGCTGAACTGAATTGTGAGGAGTGCAGACTCTGAACCAGATCAGGCTCTATCCACTGGTGGGACAATGTTATGACTCCTGGACTGACAGTGACTAGCTGAGACAGCTGTGGTTGACATCCCTTACAAAGGCTTAGCTTACACCATAAAACAATGCATTGGACAGCTGTTATCCCTGGTGACAAGAGAGGTGTCATAGGCATCTGGGAACTGGCCCCCAACACATACTAATGCTCCTTGGCATGTAGAAGATCACATTGGAATGGAGGAGTGGAGTGCAATGAAGTAAATGCTGTAGACTTGTGTGATCAAGGTTACAAGTGATCCTGAAATAATGGATGGCTTTGAACAATGCTGAAGCTTCCCAAACTGTACTGGAATCATTCACGGAACTCATTTTCCAATTCTTTGTTACCCTAATCAGATTTAGAATTCTACAACTGAGCCTGTCTTCTCATTGATCAGGCAGGCTGTGGTGGACTACAGAGGGTACTTCATGGATGCAAACTCTGGATGGCTTGGCAAGGTTCATGATGCTAGAATATTATATTGAATCATTCAAGCTTGTACAGGAAGGGATATGCAAGAATACCTTTTCATTACACACCAGAGATATCAGTGCTGCTGCTGTGTCAGCTGTGATTAACAAGGACCTTGCACTCCCTTTGTTACTCTGAGGAAAATTATGAGGATATTAACAACTGGTAATTTGACGACTGCCTCTGTCATGTCGAACTGGTGGTCCAGTGTGCTTTTGGGATACTAAAGGGGCAGTAGAAATGCCTATTGAAGCAAAATGACAAAGACCCAAAGTACATCACTGCAACCATTTCTACTTTCTGTGTCTATTCCCTAACGTGTGAATAGAAGGCAGAACTTTACATGAACACACAGGGGTGCTGTGGCCTGACATTGCCCATTTTCCCAGGCCACATGTGAACTGGGAGCTGCATGACTACTACTGCTGGTATGTAGTGCAGGTGAGCATAAGGGCTGCTCTCTGCCAGTCTTTTGCTCAGGTGAACACTGAGGGAGGGGGAGAAGAAGAGAAGAGTACTCTCCATGTCTCTGTGCTTCTATCATATACTCTGAACGAGTCTGCCTTGTTTTAGTCTGATTTGATATTCTACCATTGTATGTACTAACGTGAAGTTATATGTGTGACGAACTGGGCCTGTTCCCACTGTGGTCTGTGAATGCTGACAGGGGAGTGGGGCTGGGATAGTCTGC